ACGTCACAGTCAAAAAGTGGCATCAACCCAATCGTCCATCGACAGACGGATGTGGATAAACACAACGCGGTCTGTCCACGTAGTCAAATATCACTCAGTTATTGAAAGGAGTGCAGCGCCGACACGCCCACGACATGGATCAGCCTTGAGGACACCATGCCAAATGACATGAGCCAGTCACAAAAGGCCACACAGGGGCAGGCACGGCGGCTCACACCTGTCATCCCGGCACTCTGGGAGGCCAATTCGGGAGGATCGCTGAAAGTCAAGAGTTCGAGACCAGCCTGAGCAAGAGCAAGACCCCGTCTCTACTAAAAAATAGAAAATTTGGGCAGGCAAAGTGGCACACATCTGTAGTCCCAGCTACTCGGGAGGCTGAGGCAGGAGGGTCACTTGAGCCCAGGAGTCTGAGGTTGCTGTGAGCTAGGCTGACGCCGCAGCACTCTAGCCCGGGCAACAGAGTGAGACTCTGTCTCAGAAACAAACATGCACACAAAACAAAAGAAAACAAAACAAAACACAAAAGGTCACATAGTGTGTGATTCTCTTTATATAAAATGATGAAATGTCCAAAGTAGATTATTGGTTGTCAGGGGCTGGGGGAAGGGAATGGGCAGTGACTGCTAACAGGCTGGAGTTTTTTTGGGGGGTGGGGCGGTGAGAATGTTCTGGAGCTAGATCAGTGCTGATGGTTGCACAACATCGTAAATATATTAAAAGTCTCCAATGGTAAACTGTATGTGCATTTTATGTGTATTTTGCTGTAACAGAAAAATAGATGGCATCAAAATAGTGTTTATCTCGATGACGGATTCTCAGCACCCCCTTACGTTTGATGCCTGAAGAAAGTACCTCACTGAAAAGTACACCCTGGTCCTGACCTTGCCAGAATTAAATGGGAAAGTCGAAGGAGTCCTCGTGGGAAACTGACATTTAAGCCAATACTGGAAGGAGAAGAAGGAATCTATCTGCCAAGCTCAGATTTGGGGAGGAACATAGGAGACAGAGGGAACAGCCTGTGCAAAGGCCCTGGGGCAGGACCACAGCTGGCGTGTTGGAGGCGCAGCAAGGAGCCTGTGTGGCTGGAGCAGAGTGAGGGCGGGGAGAGAGGGAGGAGGGGAGGGTGGGGAGGGCAGGGCCACCCCACTGGCAGGGCCTTGTGGACCTCATGGAGGACTTGGGCTTCTACCCTGAAGGAGCTGGGAGCCAGGGAGGGCTGTGGGCAGAGAATGGACGGGATCCGACTCAAGTTTTAAGTTTGTCACCTGTACAAGGGAAGGGATTTTTGTCCTCCTTGGTCACTGGCACTAAACTTCTGCTTAGCACCATGCCCAGCACACAATAGGTGCTCAGAAAATATGTATCAAACGGGACGAATGAATGATAGCTCCATTCGGGGGTGTGCGTTTGCGGACTAAGGTGCAGACCAGCAAGCTCGCCCGGATACCCAGGCAGCAGCAGGCCGGGGCCTCCGTCAGCCCCAGAGCTGGACCGCCCAGGCCCACCTCCGCCAGGGCTGCTGGAGGGAGGTCCCCGTGCCTGCCCCGGCCACCTGTTTCCTCCTGCACCTCTGATTAATGGCCGCGCGGCTCCATCCATCACACGCCAGCGCCTGGCTCTGCCCGGAGCCCGTGGGGCCCAGAGCTCATTTGTAACGGGGCCTTCAGGCCGGTCTGGAGGGTTGGATACCCGAGGCGGATCCCCCGCCCCTCCGTGACCCCGGGGAGAGGAGAGACCACGGGTGGACACGTGCAGCCAGGAGTGGGGGCTGGGTGGGGACAGCAGCCGCCCAGACAACAGGACGTTCTGAAGCCCCAATTCCCTGCAGATTAATCATCCGGTCCAAACTGCGCACTCCGGGGGGAGCTGTCAGCCCTTCCTCTTCCTTACCCCAGTTCTGTTCTTGCTGCCCCCAAAAGCCCCTCCTTGCCATGGGTCCCCCCTGGCCACCCCCTCCACACTGGCCTGCTGTCTCCTTCCCTTCCTCCAAGGAGACCACCGGAGAGAAACTTCTACCACCAGCTCTGCTGTCCCTCTGATGCTCTAAGCCGGAGAGTCTCACCCGGGGGTGACTCTGACCCCCAAGGGACACTTGGCAAAGCTTAGGGACATCTGTGGTTGTCATGACTGGGGTGGGGGGAGCTCCTGGCATTGGGTGGGTGGAGGCAGGGACGCTGCGGAGCACCCTGCAGGGCCCAGGATGGCCCCACCCCAGGGAACCATCTGGCAAGACAGAATGGCAAGACAGGAGAGGCTGACTGAAAAGTAGTGCAGGCCGGGCGGGGGCTCACGCCTGTAATCCTAGCACTCTGGGAGGCTGAGGTGCTCAGATTGCTTGAGGTCAGGAGTTCAAAACCAGCCTGAGCAAGAGTGAGACCCCGTCTCTACTATGAAAATATAAAGAAACTAATTGGGCAACTAATATATATAGAAAAAATTAGCCGGGCATGGTGGCGGGAGGCTAAGGCAGGAGGATCGCTTGAGCCCAGGAGTTTGAGGTTGCTGTGAGCGAGGCTGACGCCACGGCACTCACTCTAGCCTGGACAACAAAGCGAGACTCTTGTCTCAAAAAAAAAAAAGTGCTTAAGGCAGAGCCTGATCCTCTCATACCTATTGGTGGGTTTGTTACTCATTTGGGTCACAATTCTGGACTTCCCTGCATGTAGGAGGTGGGGGGAAAACCTTGTTTTTCTGAAAATGACTATTTCACAATGACTTTCTCCTGCAAAGGCCTGGGTCGCTCTGGGTGGCCCAGCGCTGACCCCATGTGCTGGAGGTACCTGTGCTTCCCCCGCCAGTGTGGGGGCTTTCTAGAACAGGGATGTTTGGTCACCGAGGTGCCTAAGTAAATATTGGCAGGTGGCCGCCAGCAGGAAAGCGTGTCTGGTCCCCATGGGGCCAGGGGTGGGAAGGCAGGGGACATGGGGGCAGAACTGGCTTCATGGGCATTCGAGGAATGCAGTCTCACTGGGCTGGCTCTCAAAGAAGGGCCTGTGCTGGGTGACTAGCTCCGGTTGTCACCATCTTGAAATCCCTCATCATTTTTGAGCAGGAGGGCCTGCGCTTTCATTTTGGCCTGAGCCCAGAAAGTTCTGCAGCCCATGCCATAGGGAGCTCCAATGTGATCTTCGGGGTCTTGTGTATTCCAGAGCCTGGCAAGAATACCCTGGAACTTTCCAGGTCTGTTGCTCTTCTCTTAACAGCGTTATAAAGTGGGGGTCAGGGCGACCCTGGATTTGCACGGCTAATCCTGTCTTTATTGAGCATGTTGATATGTTGTGCATCACACACGCTTTTTATTTTTTGAATTCTTTTTTTTTTTTTTTTTTGAGACAGAGTCTCACTCTGTTGCCCGGGCTTGAGTGCCGTGGCGTCAGCCTAGCTCACAGCAACCTCCAACTCCTGGGCTCAAGCGATCCTCCTGCCTCAGCCTCCCGAGTGGCTGGGACTACAGGCATGCGCCACCATGCCCGGCTCATTTTTTATATATATATATTTTAGTTGGCTAATTAATTTCTATTTTTTTTTTTTTTAGTAGAGATGGGGTCTCGCTCTTGCTCAGGCTGGTTTTGAACTCCTGACCTTGAGCAATCCTCCCACCTCAGCCTCCCAGAGTGCTAGGATTACAGGCGTGTTTGCATTTGTTTTTATTTTTTTAAATAATACCTTAAAGTAGTATTTATCTTGATCGCTGGGGGGGGGGGGGAAGGGGGGTCCCTTAAATAGAGCTCTTTCAAGTCACCCTAGCCCTGGGCCCTGCTCTGCCCAGGTGAGGAGAGGGAAGTTCTCAGTCCATTTTGCAGATGCTCACACCCCAGGCCCAAAGAACTTACATTCATTCATCCGGGGTGACCTCCAAGCGACAGGCTTATTCAGGCACCCTCTCCTAGGCCTATCTGTTCTCCCTATGGCAGATAGAGAGACTTTCAGAGTCCCAGCCAGGGCATGTCCCTCCTCTGCCTGCAACCCTCAGGGACTCCCACCTCCCCCTGAGTAAAAGCCACAAGGGGCCCTGCAGGACCTGCCCTTCACCAGCTACAGGCTGTGCAGGAGGCAGTGCAAAACAAAACCACAAAGTCCCCCAGTTCAAAAATGACAAAGAATTTCAAAACACAACAGTAGAACATTAACCCAAATGCAATGCCTTCTGGGAGCCGTGCCCCCAGGGCAGACGGTGCAAACCCCAGGCCCTTTGCACTTGCTGCTCCTGCCTCAGGGACAGAGGACATCTCTGTCCCTGTCCTTCTTCAGCTCCTTTTTGGGGTCCAGGAGGCCCTCTCTGAATCCCCCTCCTCCATGGTTTAACCTGCACCTTCCTGGGCACCCTCTGGCCTCACCCCTGCTTGTTTTTCCCCAAAACTGTTACCACAGTCTGACCCTCCTGCCTGGAGTTTGACTCTTGTATTTGTGTCTAGTGTGACTCAAGGCCCCCCCTTCCCCCCCATGGGCCTGGCATACAGTAGGCGCTCCATAAATGTGCGCTGCAAGAGTGGACCCCGTGAGGTAGGGGGTGTCCCCGTTGTCTTTCTGCAGAAGAGGAAACTGAGGCTGAGCGAGAACCAGCCGCCCGGCCAGAGCCAAGGTCACAGAGCATGTCCCTGGCACGCGTCCAGGTCGTGCCACGCCGAGCCGGCGGTTTAGATGGCGCGGCTGCGGGCGGGGTGGGGCGGGGGGCTTTCTTTGACAGATGGGGAAACCGAGGCCCGGCCGGCGGCCCGGGCGCCCCCCGCCGGGAGGGGCGGCGGGGGGCGGGAGCGCGCCCCGCCAAGGTCACCGCGCCGGCTGGCCCGGGAGGCGGGCCGGGTGGGGATCCGCAGGCCTCCCGGCGCGCGCGCCCTCGGCGGCGCGCACGGGCTCGGGCGCGGCGGCGGCGGCAGCAGGTGGAGCCGGAGCCTCCGAGCAGCCGACCGCGGCCACCCGGCGGCCGCCGCCATTAGACATAAAGCGGCGGCCGCGGCGCGGCGGCGGGGGCGCGGAGGCCGGGGAGGCCCGGGGCGCGCCGGGCCGGGCGCGGGGGGCGCAGAACGGGCCGGCCGTGACGGCGGCGGCGCGGGAGCTGCCGATCGGCGCCGGACAAAGGCGCGGCCGCCCGGCGCCCCGAGCAGCCCGAGCCGGGGCGCACAGCCGAGGCGCAGCCCGCGCCCCCCGCCGCGACTGACATGATGTTTCCACAAAGCAGGCATTCGGTAAGCGGCCGCGCGCCGCGCCACCTCCCTCCCCGCGCTGTCGCCTCGGCGCCCCTGCCGGTCGGCGTCTCCTTCATCCGCCGGCTTCCCGAGACATCCCCGACTCCACCTGCTCTCGCGCCTTGAGCGCCCCCCCAACGCCAGCTCCCGGCCTGCGCCCCCCCACCGAGACGGGCCGGGCCTGGCTCGGGCCTGGGGCGCCCCGGGAGCCCCGCCGCGCACCTCCGGCGCGGGGCAGCTTTCGGGGCCTGGAGTGGGGGGCATCGAGGGCGCACCCCACCCGGAAGAGCGCGGGACCCAGGAAGGGCGCTGGGAATCGGGGTGGCCCCCTCCCTCGCGAGGTTTCAGGCGTGGAGAGAGACCCCTCCCCCCAAGGGGACTTTGCTGGGAGGCCTCGCTGCACCCCAACTTGCAGAGGGGGGCTGTTTTAGGACGCGTTTCCCCCGCCCCCACCCGGGCCGCCGGAGCAGTCGGGGCGCTCGCCGGTGCACCCCCGCGGCGCCGTGGGGGGGCGAGGGAGGGCGCGCCCTGCCCCCCACCAGGGGCGGGCCTGGGGGCGGCGGGCCGGGCGGCTTTGGCGCACTCACCCCCCGGCTGCCCCCGGGAGAGGCGGGGGCAGGAAGCGGGGGCGGGGGCCGCGCCAGGGGCTGTAAACACCGGCCCAGGAAGTGGGGGTGGGGGCGCTGCAGCTGCGCGGCCGCCGCCTCCCCGCGCGAGGGCCCCGCGGGCGGGCGCGGGTGGGCGGCCCCCGCCTGGCCCTGACCCCGCCGCCCCTCCCCGCAGGGCTCCTCGCACCTACCCCAGCAACTCAAATTCACCACCTCGGACTCCTGCGACCGCATCAAAGACGAATTTCAGCTGCTGCAGGCGCAATATCACAGGTGAGGGGGACCCCGGGTTGGGGGGGTCCCTGCACCCTGAGAAGCTGCCCCCCTTTCACTCCCCACCACGGGCGGGCGCGGGGGGGCTAGACCTGGCCTGCAGGGAGACGGTACCCCCCCCCCCCGCATGCACACACTTGCAAAAACGCATGTCTAGAGCGGCTCACGCGCCAGGCTCTGCCCTGAGCACGTTCCCCAGGTTGGATCCCTTTGGTTTTGCAAACAGTCCCATCTCCCGGATGAGAAAACCGAGGCACAGGAAGTTCGATGATTTGCCCAAAGACCCGACTGCCTGGCTTCAGGGCCCTCCCTCCCTGTCCCCACTGAGTAAAAGGCCTTCCCAGCACCAGAGCCGGGAGGGACCCCCTGCCCGCCCCCAGGAGAGTGCATGCTGCAGCCCGGCCCTGTCCCCCTGCCCGCTTTTGGAGTCCGGGTTTCCAGCCTGTGGAGCAGTTTGTCCTGGGCGACTGTCCCTCCAAAACCTAACCCCGCCCCACCCTCCTAAAGGGCTTGCCCCTGCGGGATCTCAGGGGCGGGAAGGATATCGTCTGGAAACCCTCGGGGTGTGCGCACGGCCAGGAGGTGGCAAAACTAAACCCAGCTTTGCACCCCCTCGTCCCAGTTTAAGAACGCAGGTGACCAAGCACTGTGCTGTGGAGGGGACACCTTGCCTGGCAACCTCAAGAAATCAGAGGCTGTACATAAATCCCAGTTGGCCCTTAGCCCCCCACAAACGGAAGTTTCCGTACCCCAGAAGTGTTTCATGAAGGCTCCTGAGTTTTCTCCAATAAGGAAGAATATTGATTTTGGAGTGGTGGAGGAGGGATAGGGTCTTGCTGTGTTCCCTGGACTGGAGTGCAATGGTGTCATCACAGCTCACTGCAGCCTCCAACTCCTGGGCTCAAGCGATCCTCCTGCCTCAGCCTCCCCGGTAGCTGGAACTATAGGTGTAGCCACTGCACCCAGCCACTTTTCCTATTTTTTGTAGAGGTGGGGTCTGGCTATGTTGCCCTGGCTGATCTCGAACTCCTGGCCTCACGCAATCCTCCCACCTTGACCTCTCAAAGTGCTGGGATTACAGACGTGAGCCACTGTGTCTGGCTTGTGCCCATTTTAAAGATGAGGAAACTGAGGCAGTGACAGTTGGAAGGCACTGGTCTCTGGCAGGCCCCAGAAAGTTTGTTGGGGTCTCTGCTTGCTGTGCCCACTTCACCGTGAGCCCAGGGCTGACACCATTCTGGAGCCAAAGGATGGATTGCTGTCACAGTGTGGTGTGACCTTGAGTGGGTTTTGGGGCCTCCATCTGGGTCTGGGCTTCCCGATATCCAGTGAGGGGCCCTGCCACATTGAGGACACGCACAGGATCCACTGGCATTACAGGCCTAGGTGGCTGGATAGTCCTATTTTTCAAGAAAGAACAAAAAATTGACAGTTTAGGGTAAAACTTCCTGTTTTTTTTTTTTTTTTTTTTTTAAGAGATGGGGTCTTCCTCTGTCACCCAGGCTGGAGTGCAGTGGCATCATCATAGCTCACTGCAACCTCCAACTCCTGGGCTCAAGCGATCCTCCTGCCTCAGCCTTCTGAGTAGCTGGGACTATAAGTACAGCCACCATGCCTGGCAAATTTTATTATTTTTCATAGAGATGGGGTCTTGCTGTGTTGCTCCGGCTGGTCTCAAACTCCTGGCCTCAGGCGATCCTCCTGCCTCGGCCTCCCAAAGCCATGGGATTACAGTCATCAGCCACCGTGCCTGGCCCTGATTTTTTTTTTTTAATGGTGGCAGCAGATGTACATTTTTAAAGCAAATTAGCTACAAGTTTGTGAGGTCCCAGGCAACCCCAACTGTGTCTCACTCCGCTCTGGGGAGCGCAGTGCCAGGCTCCCAGGTGTGAGATTTCACCAGCGTTTATTGGGTGCCTACTGTGGGCCAGGAACTGTTCTCAAAACTTTTCTGAATTCATTGGAATCCTCACCACCCTACCCTGGGAGGTTGGAATGGAACAGAGAAGGCCCAGAGAGGTAGAGGAACTTGCCTGGAGTCACACAGCGGGGAAGGAGCAGGGCAGAGCCGAGCCGTGGACCCAGGCCCTCTGGCCCTGTACTGTGGGGGGTGGGAGAGGGGACAATGAAGCCACAGCCAGGTCCAAGGGGCCCCTGTGCTGGAACTTTATAGAAAGAGCTTTAAAGACAGAGGCTTGTCTACACCTCCCCGTCCCCACCCCCAGTTCTTTTCCCGGACTGCCTGGCTGTCCCTGGCGGCCCTGCACCCTCTCGGCCTCTGCGCAGTTTCTGCTTGAGTCTAGAGAAGTCTCCCCCATGGTTGAGAGCTTGGGCTGCTTGGCTGTGTGACCTTGAGCCAGTTACTCAACCTCTCTGGGCGCCCATTGCGTCATCTGTAAAAGGAGACTGATGGTGACGCCAGTGACCTCGTCTGGGATGGTGAGAGGTGACGGGTTCCTCACATCTCTCCTTGACTCAGGGTCGCTCTGGCTTTCCTCATCGGGATTATATCTCCGCCCCCAGATCTTGGAGGCTGGTTTCGTGCTCCCCGTTTTATACTGAGTCGCTGTCCCTGGCCCCACGTTCAGCGTTTGCTCCCCCCTCCGCCCCACAACTTGGCGGTCCAGGGAAGAGCTCATTTGCGCTTGCCGGGGACTGGAGGCCCTCGGAGCCTCAGTTTCCACGCTGCCCGGCCTCCGCCAATCCGCGTCTCCCCCTCGTCTCCCCCTCGTGTTTTCTCAGCCTGAAGCTCGAGTGTGACAAGCTGGCCAGCGAGAAGTCGGAGATGCAGCGTCACTATGTGATGGTACGGTCCCCTGGCCCCCGAGTGGGGGCCCAGACCCTCCTCCTGCGCCCCTGCGCCCGGCAGCCACCGCCACCGCCACCTCCCCCGGGAGTGCGGGCATTCAGGGCTGCGCTCATTCAGCCGCCCCGCTGGGCCCAGCCTGCCCTGCTGGCCTGGCAGCCCGCCCGGGCGGTGGCCGAGGTGCCAAACCGCCGGGCTGCAGGCTGGGCCGCCAGGTCCCCGCTGTCCTTGGCAGAGGAGGCGGCACCGGCTGGCTTGGCCAGGAACTGACGTGGGGAGCAGCCCCGCCCCCGGCCTGGCATCCAGCGCTTAACCCCTCCACGCCCAGGCTCTGGGAGGAGCACCCTCCTGGGGGAGGGCGGGGTGGGGGCCGCGACACCTGTCCCTGCTGCCTGAATCCCCTGCTCGGGCTCTGTGCCCGCCAGGCAGCGCTTTCTGCATCAAACCCCCTGCCTTGCCCACCTCTCCCCGCCGCTGCCCCGGCCCTGGCCTGGGCCTCACCCCAGAGCCCAGCTCTCCCACACTGGGGGGCGACACAGAACCAGACACCGACCCTCCCAGCCTGCAGGGATGGAGCTGGAGTCAGAGACAGTGGCACCTGGGACTCCAGGGGGTAGGGGACATTGCCCAAGGAAGACTGCATGGAGAAATGGGGCATTGTGTCTGGGGTTTTGAAGAATGAGTAGGAGCCTGCTGGACAGAGAGGAGGAAACCATGAACTTGGCTTTTTCTCCCCAGGGGTGATGGGGAGGCATGGGAGGGATTAGAGCAGGGGAGGGGCAGGGTCAGACCTGGGGCTCCGGTGGGTGCTGGCCCCAGAGCCAGAGCCAGCAGGCTTTGTTCATCCTCAGTATTTATAACCTGGGAGGCCAACTTCCCCGAGTCCCGGCCCACCTGCAGACAGGACATATAAAGGCAGGAGATTAGGTGTCCCGGAGTGTGGGGGGAGCCGGGCAGGGGGTGAGCCCCACCCACAGCCCCAGCGTCCCACCCCTGTCCTGTGCTCTCTGGGTGTGGGCGTCCCTCCTTCCCTGGCTTTCTGTCTCCCTCCCCCTGCTGCTCCCTTTCCTGCCCGCTCAGCTGTCTCTTGCTGTCTCCCTCTTTGTCACTCTCTGTCACTCCCCCATCTCTTTGTCTCCACGCCCCCCCATGCTTCCCCGCCCCCATCTCTCTCTCTCTCCCCCACGCAGTACTACGAGATGTCTTACGGCTTGAACATTGAGATGCACAAGCAGGTACGTCATTGCCCCGCCTCCAGACCCCCTTTGGGGACCCCCCCTCCCGCAGGTAGCGCCTGCCCCTTGGCCATGTACCAGGCAGCCCCGCCGCCCCTCCTGAGCTCCCTGCCTCTTGTTCAGGCCCCCTGGGATTTTCTTTCTCCCTCAACGGAAGGGACAGAGACCTTCCCCATGACTTGCCACCCCCACCTGTCCCTGCGTTCTCAGGGAGCGCTTACTACCCACGAGGCGCTGCGTGCGGTCCTGGGGAGCCGCCGAGCCCTGATTTGGTCCGGCTCCCGCGCTCTGAGCCACAGGCAGGGAGCCAGCTCAGGTCCCTGGGCCTGCAGAGGGCTCGGCTGACCCCTCCCCGCCAGGCCCAGCCCCTCTTAGAGAGAACCCCGAGTGGGTGGGCAGGCGGGTGGGCGGGCAGGCGGTGGGCGGCCCTGGGCGGGTCCGCACCTGCCACCCGCTTGGGGACTGAAGCGTCTGTGTGTTCCAGGCTGAGATCGTCAAGAGGCTGAATGGGATTTGTGCCCAGGTCCTGCCCTACCTGTCCCAGGAGGTAAGAGACCCCAGGGCGCTGGTCCCCCCCAACCCCCAGATACCAGCCCCGGCCTGCACCGAAGGAACCCAGGCTAGAGCGACCCTGGGGCGCCAGGGGTGGAGGGCGGCCTCGCCCCGCTGTGGAATCTCGGGCTCCGGTGAGTCATTTCAGTGGTAGGAGACGTCAGGTGCACCCGGGCTGCACCGAGAACTTTCCCCCTCCTCCTTTCTCTTGTCGCCCTCCCTGGACGCACGCAGAGCTCTCTGCGCTGCCTCGGACGGAGGATGAGGGGGTGCACACGTGCACAGACGCGTTGCGTGTGCACGGGGACACACGGTGCAGGCACACAGATGCACAGATACACACGTGCACAAGGGACACATGGACACACACACCCAGAGGGACCAGGCGGTGGCTTTTCTTCCCCTTTCCTGGGTTAGGAGACTCTTGGTGGGAGGCCCGCTTCTGCCCCGCCCCCCCTCCTGTTCCCTGCCAGGTTCACTCCTAAAAATTCGTCATTTCCTCTTTAATCCCTGCTCCTACCACGGGATTTTTCGGGTGCCTTACTTGCCCAGGGACAAGTCTAGAAGGACATGGTGAAAGCCCCAGAGAAGAGGGTCCTTGGAGCCCTTCAGATCTAGACTTGGACTTTCCTTTTATAACAGAGGCTTCCTAGGAGCCAAGGCAAAAAGGGAGATAGGTGGATTCTAGCATCTGGTGGCAAGAGAGGAAGACTTTTGGGGGATGTGTGGGAGGAAATGCCCTTGAACCTGGACTCATACCCTAGCCCCGTCAGAAGTCACTGGGCCTTCCCCAGCTGCGCAAGGAGAAGGGCTTAGGTTTTCACATCTCAGAGCCTAGTCTCTGAGCTCGGAGGATCAGGACTTCCCCGTACAGTTGGTCAGGTTGTGTGCTGCACACAACCCACATCCTTTACTGAGCTGCACGTGGTTTGCACGTGGGATGATCACGACCCAGGGTTTCTCTCGGACTCAACCCAAAGGCCTTTCCCCAGGTATCTGGCACCATGGTTCCCAGTTTGCCAGATGAAGGGACCGGCTTGGTGCCGAGGAAGTGGCCAGAGCCAGGCATTTTCTTTTGAGGCGGAGAGCCGCTGGGGTGCGGGGCAGGGGGACCCACTTGGTGGGGGGGCTCGTGCTGGGCTCAGTGTCCCCACCTCCCCCCAGCACCGCAGGGGGGACAAATCCAGACAAGTCACCTGCCTCTTCTCTCACCGGCCCCTTCCAGCACCAGCAGCAGGTCTTGGGTGCCATCGAGCGGGCCAAGCAGGTGACGGCTCCTGAGCTGAACTCCATCATCCGGGTAGGTCTGGGCACCTGCGCGCGGGTGGGCGGGGGCCGGGGACAGGTGGGCCCCACAGCTGACGCTCCCCTCCCGCCTTGCAGCAGCAGCTCCAGGCGCACCAGCTGTCGCAGCTGCAGGCGCTGGCCCTGCCCCTGACGCCCCTGCCCGTGGGGCTGCAGCCGCCCTCGCTGCCGGCCGTGAGCGCAGGCAGCGGCCTGCTGTCGCTGTCGGCGCTGGGCTCGCAGGCGCACCTCTCCAAGGAGGACAAGAACGGGCACGATGGCGACGCCCACCAGGAGGATGACGGCGAGAAGTCGGATTAGCAGGCGTCGGGGACGGGGAGGGTCGGGAGGTGGGGGGACAGAGGGGACACCGAGGCACGGAGAGAAAGGCATGTTTTAGCGCGAGACACAGCGTAGCTCGGGACTGGCTCCGCTCCACTCCGTAGTGTTTATTGTGGCCGCCCGCCGGCCCGGGCCCTGCTCTGGGGCCACCTCCTCGCTTTGTTCCTGTCCCCGGTCCCGGCCTCCTCCCTCCTGCTCCCCTGCAGCCCCAATAGGGGGATGGGTACCTGCTCGTGACACAGATGAGGCAAGCTAAGGCCTGGAGGGGCACGTGGGGGAGACCGGGAGACCAGAAAGGAGCAAAACCTAAAGAAATGCAGCACCCCGGCACTTCCCTGCTCCCCACACGCGTGACCGACAGTCGCCCTGGGCCCCGGCGCGCCTCAGCTCCCGCCCTGGCACTGCATGCAGACACAATGCTAGCTGCCCTCCCTGTCCTGGGCACCCGGAGTGTCCTCCCTGGGTCCCAGACCTCTCCCACTCCACCGCCACCTCCCGCCCCGCTCACCGCCTCCGCTAGTTGGACACCCCCCTGCCCACCCGGTCCCCTCCCCTCCCCGCGACAGGCGGGGCAAGCCGGGTGGGGGCAGGTGACCCAGGACTTCTCCTTCTCCCCTTCCCAAATAAAGATGAGGGTACTAAAGTTGTCTTGGTTTTTTTTTTTAATTTTTTTGTTACTTTTTTCTTTTTCCAGTATACTAGCTTGTCTTTAAAGAAAGGGGATATTAAAAAAAAAAAAAAGAAAAATGTTTAAAAAAAAAAAGCAACAGCCACACCTGTGTCTGTATATAGTCAGCTTTTGTTGTGCTCGTTCGTTTGATCTCTGCAGAGACGTGAACAATGCTGTATCGAGGGTGGGCTTAGCTGTGCCTTTCAAATAAAGATGGGAGAAGGTTCAGAAATGCGTTCCTGTCTCTGTGTCTGGGGGGGGGGCTCCTTTCTGGGGTGGAGGGGGCTTTCTTCCATCCAAGACATTCTTTGTTGCCGGATGGGACATCGGGAGTCCCAGGTGAGTTGGGTTTCTGCGTGTGGTTCACTTCCTTTCTGTGCCTAGCCCAGAGAGGGTAAGCTGGAGGCTTGGGGTCACACAGCATTGCCCAAGTGCGGGAGGGGTAGCCAGCCTTTTGACGGGTGGGCAGAGTGGCTCAGAAAGAAAAAGGGGTCACTGAGCAAATAAGGGACAGGGCTGGTTTCCATGCCCCAGGCCACACGGCTGCCAAGCCACATTTTTGGCCCTAAGAGGATGCCCCGCTGCCCGCCCTCATATCCTTTTCACAGATCAGAGAACCCAGACCCCCAGCCGAGCCTGGGTCCTCCCCAGGGACAGCCTGAAGTCCCACATGACAGCTTCACTCAAGCTGGGCCAGCCCTGGAGAAGCCAGAAAGAAAAGGGGTGGCCCCCAGTTCCCCCCATCTTGATCCTGGGCCTTTGCTGCTCTGGGACTTGGGCCAAGGGGACCTTGGGCTGCCCACCCAGGGACTGGGAGGTGGCTGTCCCTGCTTTGCAAGGGCTGCCTAGCATAGGCGTCCCAACCTCAGAGCTGGGAGGGGAGATGGTGAAACATAGTCCTCAGAGAAAATGCCTCGAGTCCCCGAGGGGTCAGGGGACAGGGCTGGGTCCCACCCCTCCCCCACTGCAGCCACAAGCAGCTCTGAACATTCCCCGTGGATGAGGCCACTCCCGCCTGACGTTTAAGCTTGTGAAACCCAAACTCGCCTACGCATACCGACTTGGCACTGAAACTGTCGTATCTACTTCGGAACACTGGTCTCTCGCCACCCCACAGACCAGCAAAGCCCCTCCTGGAGACGTCCCCCAACAGAACTGTCACACGAGTCCACCGAGAAGACCTGAACGAGAGTGTTCAGAGTCACCATAACTAGTCACGATTGTCCCTAAACAAATGGATCAACTGTGACACGGTGTCACCGAGGAATACTACACAGCCATGAAAAGGAACCGGCCACTACGGCTGCACACCCAACAGCACAACGCATCTCCCACGGAACGCGGGATGGCACAACCGAGTGCAGAGCGCGTGTGACTCCATTTCTACAGAGGACAAACACAGGCCCGAGTGACCTGTGGCATTGGTCGTCTTGGAGTTTCCCTTGGGGAGGAGGGACAAGAAGGGCTGCTCGTGAGGTGTGTCACGTTTGGCCTCCTGCCCTGGGAGCTGATTCTGTGAGTGTGTTCGCTTGGTGACAGCTTGCCGCACTGTCCACTTACAAAACGTGTGCTCTTCTGTTACGTTTCACACTACAAAATGATTTAAAAAAAAGAAATTAAGGCCAGGTGCGGTGGTTCACACCTGTAAACCCAACACTCTGGGAGGTTGAGGCAGGAGGATCACTTGAGCTCAAGAGTTCGAGACCAGCCTGGTTCACACCTGTAAACCCAACACTCTGGGAGGTTGAGGCAGGAGGATCGCTTGAGCTCAAGAGTTCGAGACCAGCCTGAGCAACACAGTGAGACCCCCGTCTCTACAAAATATAGAAACATTAGCCAGGCGTAGTGGTGGTGCCTGTAAGTCCCAGCTACTGAGGAGGCTGAGGCAGGAGGATCGCTTGAGCCCAGGAGTTGGAGGCTGCAGTGAGCTGCGATGACACCACTGCACTGCAGCCTGGGAGACAAAGTGAGACCCTGTCTCAAAAAATAAAAATAAAAAAATAAAAGATTAGCCTTGGCTCCCACGGGTCTTGGGATAAATTCTAAATTCTTCACCTAGGCCAACAAGACCCACCCAGGCACGCAACCGCAACTGTTCCTACTCAGTAGGTTGCAGCCACATTTAAACACCTTTCAGTTCCTCGCCTCTAGGCCTTTGCACATGCTGTTCCCTCTGCCTGGAACAGCGTTCTTCTCTGCCCCCCCCTTCCCACTATTCTAAACCGTCAAGACTCCCTGGAAGTCCCTTTTCTTTTCTTTTTTTTTTTTTTTGAGACAGAGTCTCACTTTGTTGCCCAGGCTAGAGTGAGTGCCGTGGCATCAGCCTGGCTCACAGCAACCTCAATCTCCGGGGCTCAGCGATCCTACGGCCTCAGCCTCCTGAGTAGCTGGGACTACAGGCATGCGCCACCATGCCCGGCTAATTTTTTGTATATATATTTTTAGTTGGTCAATTAATTTAATTCTATTTTTGGTAGAGACGGGGTCTCGCTCAGGCTGGTTTTGAACTCCTGACCTTGAGCAATCCACCTCCCAAAGTGCTAGGATTACAGGCGTGAGCCACCACGCCCAGCCTGGAAGTCCCTTTTCTAAAGGCCTCCCCCAAAGCAAGGTGGGTTCCATGACACCCTTCCCCCAGGTCGCACACAAATTCCCCGAGTCTAAACAGAACAGCCGCTATTACCGATGGGCGGACGTGTCCCGTGGCCGTTCCAGGCACTGGGCCTTCAGCGTGGGCTTCTTTTTATTATTATGATTATTATTTTTTATGCAGACACAGGGTCTAGCTGTGTTGCCCAGGCTGGTCTCCAACTCCTGACCTCAAGATCCTCCCCCCCTTAGTCTCCCAGAGTGCTGGGATTACAGGCGTGAGCCACCGCGCCCGCCCGGCCTCCAGCACGGGTTCAAATCCTGGCTCTTCCTCTGTCCCCTGGGTCATCCGGGCAAGGGATAATCACTGCACCCACCTTGTTAGGAAGATCCCGTTCGGTCTGTGGAAAGGGCTCCCAGCAGAGGCCGGCACATTCATTCATTCATTCATTCATTCATTCATTCATTCATTGAGGCTCTACTCTGAGCCCCAGGGCGCCACAGGGAACAAAGCCCACGACAAGAACCCCCGCCCTTGTGGCTGGGGACATAACTAAGTAAAATACACAGTTGAGTTAACATAGAATTGGTGAATCTGGTTAACACAGAGGACAGGGGAGAGGCAGGAGCAGGGAACGGCCGCTGCATTCGTTTCTTCTTTCTGGAAATTTGCACCCAGAGCCGGACCGCGAGCTCGTGGTCGGAGGGCGGCCTGGGGCTGGGCCCCGTCTGCCCCGGGGGTGGTCTGCGGCAGGTGAGGTCGCTAGTCCGGTCTCGGTTTCTGGGAAGTGGCTCTGGGAATCCGGAATCCTGCACGGACTGCCCGGCTCGCAGCTGATAACGTTATTGTTATTATTATTACTGATGTCGGGCAGAGGAAGGGCGCCCTGGGGGGGGGCAGGGCCCGGGGGGGGGGGGCAGGGCCCCACCCGCGCCAGGTCTTCTCGGGGAAGGGAGGGTTCCGCCTGCGCAGCCACAGCGTGGCCCGAGGGCCGGGGGTCCCCCGGGCCCCGCAGGGGTGAGGGAGGGTCGGGCGCCGCGGGGAGGGGTGAGGAGGGGCGGAGGCGTCGGCCCCTGTCCCCCCCGCCCCCCGCGCGGGCCCCCTCCCGCTTAACGACTGCGCCGCGGGCGACCTCGGCTAATTGATCCGCTAATGGGCCCCGCGCCGCGGCCGGGCCTAATGAGCCGAGGAAGGGGAGGGGGGTGCAGGGGAGCGGGGGAGGGGAGGGGAGGGGTGGGGAGAGCACAGCGGGACGGAGCGGGGCTGTGGGGAGCGAGGGAAGGAGGAGGGGAGGACGGAGATGAGGGGGGTGGAGAGGGAGGGGTGCGGGGAGAACAGAGCAGAGGGCAGGGGAGGGGAGGGAGGGGGAGGGGAGGGAACTAGAGGGAAGGGCGGAGGAGGAATAGGAGGGGAGAAGGGGCGGTGAGGAGGAGGAGAAGCGCTGGGAGGGGGCTGGGAGGGGGAGGGGCAGCGATGCTCCCAGCTCCTCCGCGGGGCGGGGAGGGGAAGGAAGAGAGAAGGAAGGAGGGGAGGGGAGGGACGCAGAGGGGACTGGGGGGAGCCCGTCCCTATCTGACTACCCCGCCCCCTCTAAGACTCTGTTCCTGCTGGGGGGGTCCCTCCTCCAAGGCCCCGCCCCCTCTGCGCCCCCCACCCCGCTCGCAGCCCCTCCCCCTTCCGGAGGGAGTTTCCAGCGGTGCGGAGCGGAGGTCCCCTGCCCTGCCTGTGCCTCGACTTCCCCATGCACACAAAGGTCCCAGTGTCCTCAGTGTCGGGGAATCCCACGGGCGCCCAGTGGCTCTGTCCCTGCACAGCCAGCCTGGGGACGCCAGGGTCTGGGTGCCTCAGTGCCGCCCAGGGCCAGGCTGGCCCCCGGGCTTGCGGTGTGGCCGCCAGGGCTCTGCAGGGCAGGACAGACACAGGGTCCCCCCTCCCGCCGCGATCTGCAGCGAGGGGGAGGAAAACACCCTGCGAATACGAGCTAGAACTGGGAGGTGACATACTACACATTCCCAGGCGGGGCCAGCCCGGTACCTCTGCTGCCGGGTTACCTGCGTGCGTGTGGCCCGCAGGAGGCAGCCTTGGAGGGGAACATAAAAGCTGCCCTGCAGTGCTGGTGCCATTAGAAGGGATCTCACTCTGTCCCCATTGCGCAGATGGGGAAACTGAGGCCCCAGAAGGGGCAGGAAATGGCCCAAGGTCACAGAACAAGGCAGGGCCCCAGCTGGGTCACTGCAGCAGCCAGAGCGAGGAAGGCACAGTGACTCACAAAGATGACAATAGCAGCAACCCTGTGCCACCCAGCCTTGGCCAAGTGTTTCCGCTGCATCTCACAATTAATTCTTGAAAATGCCGTGAAGGAAGGGTATTGCACAGATGGGGAAACTGAGGCTTAGAGACTTGAAGTGGCCACGCAGCTGGGGGAATCTGGAGTCTTTGAACGTGGGAAGGTTCAGGAATGAACCGTTTGGTTTAAGAGAAAGGAGTTTCTGGGTCCAGTGAAGACAGGTGGGGAATTGTGGGCGCCTGCTGGGAGCCATGGCTGGCGCTTGAGCAGAGGAGGCGCGCGCCCAACTGCGATGACTGACATCCTCCGGGGGACACTGAGGCTCCAGGCTGGAGGGGATACTGAGGCAGGAAGG